AACGTATAAAAAAAATTCTTTCACAATTGTGTAACCATCGGATAATCATTTCCATATTTGGGACGGTCTCACCTCGATCGTTATTACTAAATTGTTAACGTTAATCCATTTATTTTTATATTACGTATTCGAGGTTCTCTTAAAATTTTCACATTCACATCGCCTATATATGCCATTAGCTACTTTTTTGCATGTTTTGCAATATAGATGTGAATGATGGTTGCATTTATCACAAACCTTACACCCGTATTTCCATCCTCTAAAGATATGCCACTTTTCAAAGTAATTTTTATTTGTATACATGTTATTTTGATTTTTTTTCATCTCTTACAAAGTAAAAGGAACAATAATATATACGTGGCTAAAACTTTTTTTATTATACAAACCTGCTCCGTCTTACAAACAAATTATAAGCTTCATAAGTAGATAATTGCAGTAGATAAAAATCTTGAAAAACACAATTAAAAAAATTGAATAATAGTGATAGATAAAAACTTTATTAATTATCGATATCGGTCCTGACCGCTGAGGTCAGGACATGTGACCACATGTGATTGGTGCAGTAGATTAGTTTTTTTGGTTCAAAATGCTAAGTATAATATTATCAATATCCTTCTGCCTTAATTTTGAAATGGTCAAAGTGCTGAAAGATTTAACTCTTTGAATTTTTTATTCTCCAATATTAATAAAGAGTGTATAAAGCTTTCATGATCTTTCTACTTTCTTCCACAGCATAGTATCCGTAATATTGGGTATTTGTTTTCTAACTTCTTTATTAACTAGTAACAAAGATGCATATGTGGGATTTGATTTCTTGTGATGTTCAAGCTGTTCCGATAGAGCTTTACCAAAGAGATAATAACAGGTTATAAGATCTAGTAATGGGATCCATCTATCTGTTCAGATAAGTGGAGTTTATCTGTATCTGTCTGTAATAACTCTGGCAGATAGTCGAATAAGTTGAATAAAAATAATAATTTATAACAATATATAATATTATACTTATAACCAGCTATTTAACAGCATTGACCACTTTCTATAAAGTGATTTGTTTCAACTATATATGTATATATAATAATATTTATATTGCAAATATACATCGCAAAAAAAAAAAAAAAAGAAAAAAATTGAAAAAAAAATTTTTTTCTATTATTCTGGAAACATGTTACTAATCAAGCTATTATTTTTTTTTAAAAAAACAAGTTGTTCAAATGTATGCGGTTTAAAATTAGTACACTTTGATGTTATAATATTTTCAGCATCTGAAAATAGATGCTTACTAGGTGTAGATGTTGCTGGTATCGAAAGATACTTATGAGCAAGTTTAACAATTGTAGGAAATCTTTCTTGATGATTTACCCACCAAGTAAATGGATTTAGCATCAGAGAAATTTCTGGTTATGCAAGATAATCAGTTACTTCATCTATTCAAGGATGATGTACTTGAAATATTCGAGTAATAAGTGAATTGTCATTTTTAATTACATGCTGAGGTTCTTCAGAGGCAGAAGAGTCAGATTGTAAGTTTGTAACTATATTTTTTAATATGGTTATTGTTTTTAATTTTTCATTTTTAGAAACAAAACCAAGAGATTTACACCAAGGATCCAATAATAATACTAGCATACCAACTTAAGCAGATTTGACTCATCCGATAAGCCTATTACAATTTTGGTATGTATTAATCTTAATTCGTTGAGCCCCAGTAGTTACATCATCTATTTCCTCATCAGGATTTTCATAAGTAATATTATCATCTAATGCAGTTACATTTGAATTAAAGTTGATTATTTCTAAAATATTATCATTGGATACAAGATCAGAGGCCAAAAGAGAAATTGCATAAAACATAAAACTAATTGTTGAATAATTGCTTTTACCTAAAAATTCTGTTACATCTACAAATAGTTTTAATATAGATAAAAGATCTTTAATAATATCTCATTCCATATTAGTCAAATTAATTTTCTTAAGGTGTATTGCTTCGCGTTTTGATTTACGATTAGTTTCTGTTTTAAGTATATTAATTATTATATTTATTGCTGGATGTAATTTGATTACTGTAAATTGCTGAAAATAAGCACCCTCTAAAAATAAGCACCCTCTATGATAATTATTAACCTCTAAAAATAAGCACCTTCAACTGAAATTATCCGCGATTTAATATTATTGGTTAAAAAGACATAACAATTACAGGCCCTGATTTGTCCTATATATATTCATATATACGCATACTTTTCATGCTTCTATTCTATACCAAAATCATAACTCATTCGTCACTTAGTTTTATGCCACTTAAAATTAGATTAAAAATGGCAAGTTTTGATCATAAATGTCATGATCTTTAATTATTTTTTGCATTTTCCTTACTTTTAGATTGCCAAAGGTAGAGCGCTTTAAAACATCATTAGGATGTATATAGTATTTATTTGGTTTTTTGTTTTTTTAAAAGCTTTCTTTTATAACACTGCATAATAATAACTATTTTTTTATATTTCGTCAGGTTTAGTGAGTAGATTATGAAGCCTTACTGTAAAAAACTGTATATAAGACACGGGCCTTTTACATTTCACTAGATTAAAGCCTATAATAAACCCAGGTATTATATATGGTTGAAAATTTATACACTAAAAGGAAAAATTTTAAAAAGCATGTATATGTTGTGCCTCAGGCTAGTGCTTACAGCTGACACACATCAAATATAGATCGTCAAGTGTTTGTAATAGAATGTGCTACGACAATTCAGGCAAAGAAAAGAACAGAGTTGCTGAAGAAACTTAATATAAAGGAGCTCTACTGTTGGTGGTGAAATACTGAAGAGATTCAAAGTGATTTAGAGTAAAGAATATTGCTAATGAGAAAAATGCAAAGAGATTTAAGAAATCAAGAATAGAAATAAAAGTCTATTCAATTTTTACACTCCTACTTTCGTCAGATCGCAGTTTAACTACATATGAGCTGTGATCTGAGGCAAGCATTAGCCTGAAGCACAACATATATTTTTTATTTCTAATGAGCTGTCCAAATGCTTACATTTGGTTATTGTAAATTCTTCAAATTTGCATCCAGGTATAGTACATAGGAGGCCTCGATTTGTATTCAAGTATAGTATATAGAAGGTTTACTATTATGATGAAGCTTTTATCTAGCCACTTATATTACTTTTTCGCAGTTTACTTCCAGAGTAGCTTTATTAAATCTTAGTGTTTACAATTTATGCATTCCGGTAAGGATGTAAAATTACTGCAATTTTGCATAAATTAATTTTCATGTGTTTTGTAATTTTGAACATATGATATTTAGTTTTTTAAATCAAATTTTTAGCGATCTAGGAGTTACAATTTGGATAGCATATTCAAATCAACTAATATAATGATACTGGTCAAACTTTTTAAATTTAGTACTTTATATATAACAGAATTACAGTAGATCAGTATGGTACAGATCAAAATTAAATAGTTTACTATACTGATCAGCTATGATTCTTAACCCTAACACTAATATATACTAGGACCCGAAAACCGGTATAAGTCCAGAGCCCATAACAGCATTCAATTAATGGCCCTAACCTCTGAAAAATCTGGTCATGTATATCGCAGATCAAAATTTTCAGGTGCGTTACAAACGGAAAATATCGAAACTACGTTTTTGATATTATCATTATAGATGCATCAAAATTGTAATTTCAGTCATCAAAATGCATAAACATATAAGTCCTCCGCTTCGCTCCAGACAATAACATCAGATCAATATAGTACAGATTTTATAATTCAACCTATACTATATAAAATTCGGCCTGTACTATACAGTTCTGCTCACCCATACCATATTGATCTGTGAAACTCCTATGCATAACACTATGAAAATTACATGAAATTTGATTTTCTGAGACTTATATAAAAGGTAGACAATATTACTAAGTCTTGGGTTTTGTGCAATTCTGATCTCTTGTGGATAGTATATTAAATTATAGCTCTTTTACTGTTGATCATAATTTAGACTATGAACAGTTTATAAAGCCTTGGGTTTTTTATATTCAGGTTGAAAGTTTCAATTTTCACAGTTCAGGTTATTAAGTTAGAAACTTTACTAAGCCTTGGTTTTTTTTTCACAATTTACATAGGACAGTTGGTTCTTAGTTTTTCTTAGACAATTCAGACTAGGCTCAAAGCTAATAAGCTTTATGAGAAAACCTGTAGCTATTTGGGCTGAAAGGTTTTAATTCACTTCAGATATTTGGTGCATACTTAATAACTAGGTATGAACGAGAGGAGCTTAGCTGTCTAATTGAAATCTAACATTGTAATAGTTAGAAATTGGTATTGACACAATTTGATTTCTGCTCAACATTCTGTTATTACAAAACGTAAGAATAAAAAGGTATATAAATGGGTTTTAAAATCTGCTAAAAGTGTGAATTCAAATAAGTAATATAGTATTGAACTTTACTTTAACAAAGATATAGATATAGGTAAAGAAGATATAAGCATATGATTGATACTCAGATAAATGATATAATTTTAGAGCTTTTGTTATTAAAACTGTTATAGCAAAGGGTAATAGTATTTGATACCTGCTAAAGACAATGTAAATTTGTTATAAAAAATAATGAGTGTCATCATGCCTAATCATCTAATAATTTGGATTTGTTCAAAATCAACAAGATCCAATTGTCAAAATATTCAAGAATCATGATTAGACGTGGGATTAGACATCTAATCCAAAGATGTCTAATTTTGTCCAATGTACACCACTGATTATATGTATTTAATAATAAAAAAAGTATTTTAATTTACATCATGTAAAGATTTGCTAATTGATCAATATATTTTAAATTGATTGAGTTGATCAATGTCTACAATTATACAATACTTATGTTTAGATATTAACATGCAACCACCTTAATTAATATCTACCAACTCTAATCCTAACAAAAAAAAGAATTCAGTAAAGTATTCGTCATCTTGTTTATTATAATACTGAAATTTGGAGTCTTAATTTGTAAATATAAACCCTACTAAAATCTACCTATATACTCTTTTATTATAAACACTAACCTAAATTCTAATCAAACTATAAAAAAAAAGCTGATCAAAACACCCAAAAAAATTTTAAATTTTCATAATAAAATAAGTCAAAATTTCAGATTATCTCTGATAATTTATATTGATTTAGTTTAAAAGTTTTGGTTTGAAATTGGCTTAGTTTATCATTGTCTATCTCCTATAGGCAAAAATTATTGATTATTAAGATTAAGTAATATATGTAAAGATTTACAAACAATTTATAAATATTATGCGGCTTCAGAATTATAGCTAAGGATCAATCAAATACAATCATACAATTCAATTTTACTGAAGATATTGCAATATTAATTCTATTTTATTGGAGATTATGCAATTTCACATGAATGTTCAGATTAAATTTTATGAAATATTATAATTAATTTTTAATAATCACCATTCAAAAAAATGCTTTATAATTGTAAATGCAACAGCTTTATTGTAGTTTTGTACTGTATTGTATATAATTCACCAAGATTTATATGCTACTAGTATTTTCAATTCATAATAAAATGAATTACAGTCAAAGATATTTCGCTATATCTTATTCAACATTTGATTTTATCACATTATCTAATAATAAAATAAGTAAATTAGCTTATTATTATAATACATATAATAAAAAATACTCACTAACCAGTATATGAACATATTCTCCAAATTTTCAATATAAACAATTAGATAGTTTTCATCATTCTCTATTAGAATTACTATTTGCTCCTCAGATTCTCTTTCAATACCATTAGAAATGCCACATTTTTTAAATGAATTAATGATCATATCAGCTGGAATATCACTTCACAATTCAACTATCCATTAACAAATAAGATTATATAGAGGCTTTTTTAAATTTTCTTTCTTTGTAAATTCAAAACTACCAAGCACCATCTAATTTTGCCATTTTTCTCTTATATGGTTCTTGAATGGTTTGTTGATACACATATCAAGCGGCTGAACTAATGAAGTAAGACTGCCAAGAATAATTCCCCTAACTGTGTTCATTTCTTTACACTTTTCCTTAACAGATTCTGTAAGATGTCCTTCAAAAGAGTCATTACTAATAGGCTACATTTTTGTTTATATGTTGGAAACCTTCTTTTCTAAACTTCATCTAATCATTCATTCATTAAAATTTCATCCATCCACCCATTTTCTTGCATTTTAACAACGATACTCAAGAGAAAAGGATTTCTAGAAAGCCTTTTACCTTTAAAGATCACCATAGAAGGAAGTTTAACTCCATTAGCTAGTATTGCAAAAACATATGTGAACCAATTCTTTTCATTGCCTGTAGTTCTGATTTGGACTGTTTTTGCTAAACAGTGGTCTACAGTAAGATTTCCAACTATATTAAAATAAATGGGTGTTTCATCCATATTTGCAATAGAAGATAGTTCATAGTTATTTATATGTTGTGACTTCTTAATAAAATTATAAAAATTATCTAATTGTTCAGATAAGTCATGGGGAAGTTTTTGTCCAACTTTTGTGCGGCATTTAAGTACAAGATCATATCATTTTATAAATCCTTGACACCAACTATTTGAGGCTTTAAAAACTTCTAAGGCATCAGAATACTCATGCTAAAATCTGGTTCTAAGAAGCTCTACTATTTTAAGTTTTATTGCGAACAGTGTTACTATAATTCCATCTTGATATAATTGAACTATCCATTGACTTAACACTTCCTCCGTAAGAGAATATGTGGCTTTTCTTCCAGAACCGACACTTTGACATGAACGCATTGCTTCTTCTAATTTTTTTTCTTTTTTTTGCCATCTTGACACTTGAGAATAATCGATACCAAATATGTGCACTGCTTCCTTATTAGACGTTTCTTTTGCCTTTGAAATAATTTTAAGCTTTTGCTTAACAGTATAACTTTTGCATTTTGTAGGTGACATGTTTTGGTTACTCATTAATTTTTACGACTAGTATTTATATAGCTTTTCATAATGTAATTTGCGTAATATCAAGAATTGTGCATCAGTAATTTTTGAATTTGTGATTCATGTGTTTTTTTTTATATATATATTTTTCTGGTTAGATAATTACAATCAAACCATATCGGCGTAGAAGTGTCAATTTGTTTTAACTGCAGCATTAAAGATTTAAATAGAATTAAATTAAATAATAAATAGTAAATATATATGTAACATATTATAAGCATCACTCACATATTTGAATAAATCCTTAAAATTAGATCCAATAATACACCAGTACAGAACACATTCTGGATTATTATAGCATATATTTTTTTAGATGAATCTAACCTTTTTTGTTCTCAACAATTCTAATACCATTCTTTTTAATCTTACAAATTTCTTTTAGGTAGATGGAAATTTTTTGCATTTCAATTTAGTTAAAGCTTTATTGCCTGTAAGTAGCATTTAATTCTAGAATTTTTCTTATGTTTTTTTTCGACCCTTTTATAGATTATGCAAATTTTATACACATGAAATACCTTTCTTTTTTTTTGCTAATATAATAGCATAATCGAAGTGCATTATCGACCATTTAAATTACTATCTTTTGGCAGTTTAAAATTCTTTAAAGGCTTTTTTGATAAACAATTCTAAGTCTATAATGAAACTTGTTTCTAACCCTATCGTACGCATCATTGTTAACAAATAATGTATAGACTGTCCATTTAAATAGTGATTTGGGATGACTTAGAAATTTTCTTACAAATCTTATATCTTTAAAATGATTTTTTGATTTATTCTATCTTATATTCAGCGAATTTTGAGTAATATTCAAATGTCTCTACATTATAATATTATTTAACAACTTAAGGTCTTTTAAAAGACCTATTTTTGATAAACTTAGATACCTCTCAAATGTTTTTATTTTTAAGTACTACTCAGATGCCTTTTGATCTCTGGTGATATCTATATCAGTTGCAGCAGATTTCAAATATCATTCAAATGTCATTTTTTGTCTTTAAAGATGTCTAGTCTATTTCCATATAGAAGAAATATCTCATATGACCACAGTTTCGTATAGCCGCCTTGCTATTATTATTAGTAATGCTGGTAAAATTAAATTTTACTAATTAACACCAATTTCACCAATAGTAGTGAAATTATTTCACCCTTCTGATATCTTTAATTATGACTGGAATAAGTTTCTTGAAATGGTACATATATACTATGAGGGGGTAAAAGGCTTTTATAGAACCATGCTCATGCGTTTGTATGCATAAATTTAAATTCTCTCAGTATAGCCAACAAAAAATTTTGAGATTGCTATTTGGTGTAATGTAGCACATTCAAAGAAATGTTCGTTTTGTCAAGAATCACTCATAACTTAAAAATCTATATAAGTAACCACCTTTAGTGCTCTAACAAAAGTCTTGCTTAGACGATTCTACTCCTATACTTTACTAACGTCTAACTCTAAAATAAGCCAACCCTAACATAATCATATTTTTAATCGTTATGTATTCAAGATTTTTGTTGGCTACGCTAGGAAAATTCATAAATCTATTTTTACATTAGCATTACATAATATTGTGCCCTATAGAATAATATACTTTTAAATTGTAAATATTTAGTAATAATACCATTTTCAACTCGTACGTATGTACAGTACTCTCAGAAAATATATCGCAGTTACACAAAAAACAACATAAATTTTCTAAATATGTAAATTTGTTGCTTAGTAAATTAATAATAAATATCGATATGCCAATTCAGCAATATATTATTACAATACTTCAGCAGTATGATTTGGAATACTGTTGATTAAATTCATGAAAATCGATGCATTTAGCCTTTCATATTCCTCTAAAAGCATTGGTTTCAATTTTTCATATGTTCTTAGGGTGGTCTTCGTTGCTGCATTCTACGTATCTTTTAGTCTATTCCATATGTGCTTCTTTTGTATACCAGTGATATACTTTCTAAGTATACTATACTGTACATACGTACGTATGTACCTTATACAAACGATGCATTTCAAGTCTATACATTAAGTAATATAGCAATACATACTACGTATATACATACGTATATATATCTATTTACATATACCCCAAGTTTGTATATCCATCTAACAACTTAACTTTATATAATTTTAGATTAATATATAATTATATATTTAAATGAAAATTAATTTACTTTGCTTTCAGTACTTATATACATAGAGCTATTACAACTAGTAATAGCAATAAATATTAATATATTTGTCTTCTAAGCGAAATAGCTACTTTAGGATTACTTTAGAATCGTTTTGTATATTAAATTTTAATGTTCTAAAATAATTAAAATTTGTTTTTTGTTAGTAGAATGAGTGAAATGTTATATTCTTAAAAAACATTTTAAACTGTATTGAAAAAGTGATATAACTTGAGCCCTTAAATATGCATATATATATATCTTATTAACCAATTATATGAACATTTTTTTATGAAATTTCATTGGCTAAAAATACATATAATCAGAAATTTTCAGTGAAGATCATTTAAAAATTTTACTCAAAAATAAGTACACTCTATATATTAAAAAGGGGTGCTTATTTTTGGCGATTTACGGTATCCAAAAAGAAGAATCCAAATAATATAATAATATCCAAGAAAGTATAAAAGAGACAACTTGTTTAAAGACAAGTAACAAGTTTATAAAATTCAAGTAAAAGCTCATTCATTGCAAGAACAAGATAGTTGTCAACACTAATCAAGATATTTTTATACTATCTTTTACTATTCTATATACCTGTTGATGGAGTTGTTGTTCTTTCTGTTGTTATTGTTTCTTTTATAATAGCTCTTTTTGTTTTAGTTTCAAGAACCTTTTATACTGTTTCTTTTTCCAAAAACAATGACCTTTTTTGTTTTCAAAGAAGAATACCATAGTGGAAAAGAAAATAATAATAACAAGTCAAATATAAGGTTTCAAAAGGGAAAAAAAAAATAAACTTGGAGAAAGAAAAACAAAGTAGAGTAAAAATTTGAAACAAAATAGAAAAATCAAAAATTCAAGATATTTGTATTAAGCTAACAAGGTTTATAACTTAAAAAGAAAATGTAAGAGGACTCTTTACGAATCTAAAGAAGGTGAGAACATCCAAAATGGTTAAGTAAATGGCGAGATATTAAGGGTCAAAGTTTGTGTAATGATATTTGTAAAGACAAAATTTTAAAGAAATTTATAGTAAAGAAAAGGGAGTGAAAACTT